TAATATATATAATATTATATTATTTTTAATTAGAATCTAAAAACAGAAAGAAAAAAAACAGTTATAAAATTAAAACTAAATTTGAGTCTTATTGCAATTATTTTTGTGTGAGAAAAAAGATTTAAAAATATATTTTAATATATTATAAAAATTAACAACAAATTACATGTTTTAGAAGAAAAAAAAAGTTGTTATACATTTAAATTGTAAATCAAGATTAAAAAAAATTATAAATCTCTTTTTAGATATTTTATATATTTATTTTATTTTATTTTTACTTTTTTTAATTCTTTTCATATTTTGAGGTTCTCCTCTATCTCTAATATATTTTAAAGTGTAGAAGAGTGAAATTGAAAAAAAAAAAAAAGCTTCTTCTTCCGTCTCTACTCCTTCTTGTTTGAATAGTTAAACTATACATTTAAAGTGATATTTGAGGTTAGTGTGTTTAAATTTATTATTTTTATATTGCTTTATTTGAATTTTTTTTATTTATTTTCAATGAAAAATTTAGTATTTTAATTTTTATTTACTCATTCTATTTTTATGTTTAGAAGAAACATCTTATGTTATGAACATTAGATAATCAACTTGAAAATTATTTCATAAATGTATGTTTTGACGGTGCTTTTTCAAAAATTAGAAGGAATTGTTTATGAAGCTTGTGGAGACAAGAAAACATGTTGTATATTTATTGATGTATTTGCTTTTAGAACTAACTTTGATACTACTAGTGACAATTGCATCAGTTGAAAGAGCTTTTTATACTATGAAAATCATCAAGAATCGGATGCGAAATCGTATGAAAAATGAATAGTTAAATGATTGTTTAGTTACTTATAGAGAGAGGTTTTTGATAATATTAAAAATAAGCAAATCATTCAATATTTTTAAACTATAAAAATTTATAAAAAATAATTATGATATATATTTATCTTTATAAAAATTTTATTTTATATTTTAATAAATTTATGTATTTAAATACTGCTCTTACTACTTAAAATTCCTGGATCCTGGATCCGTACTCAATTTTATATATTAGATAACTATATTATATATTAAGAATGACATATAAATTGTACATCAATTGTCTTACTTTACATTCCTGTAAAGTAAGGGAAGGAAAAAAGTAATTTAATTTTTTGAAAAAGAGACAACCTTAATAAGGAAAGTAACGAGTGATCTAAAGCTGAACAGAGAAGAAAAAGAAAACCTACTATTTTGTAATCTTATTCTTAGAGGAGTGTGTCAAAGTGTGGAAATGGAATCAACTTTGTTTCCACAACATAGCCAACTTATCCAATGCAACACGTGAAGTCCCACCTTCTGCTTTTGCTTCTGCAGCACTCATTTTCATCTTGAAAATCCTCTGTCTAATCTCTTTTCCCTTGTCCGAGTCCATGAGCTCCTTAACTCGCTCCCCCAACTCGGTCGAACTCACCACCCCATTTTCATCCTCCTTCACCGCCAAAGCCACCTTCATCTCCTGCACCAGAACCACCCTATTCATCTTCTGCTCCGCGTACAAGGGCCACGCCACCATCATTTTCGTCTGGAATGCTTTTCAATCTGTGTTGTCCTTCGTCTGATGTGTAGTTGACTTTCTTCTGATTTTGACCAATTCTTCATCTGAGTTTTTGTGTTGTGCTCTAGGTTGTCCTTGACACACCTTCGTCTAATGTTTGATTATTCATCTTCTGACACACATGTGGGTTTTCATCTATCATATGACTTTGCTTCTTCTAGTCTTTATGTTGTATTTGATACTTCGAGACTTCAACTGATAGTACGCTTCATCAGCCCACTTCTTTTGACTCCTCTAAGATTTTGCTTCTAGGTATGATGTCATAACCTCATATACCTTTTCCTAAGGGTTAAACTGGATCTCTACCCAAAGACACTCTCTAAATACCTAAAAAGTCCCCAAGAGTTCCTTAACTCTTAGAGTCTCTCAACAACATACCTCAAAACATGACAATACAACACAAAATTATTGGTAAAAGCACAATAATTTAAGAAAAATGTCTAGTGTTACAATTCTCCCTAACAATACAAATTTTCATCCCCGAAAATAGACTTACTTGGAAAAAGCCATGGATATTGATCTTAGAACTACTCCTTAACCTCCCACAACACCTTCACCAAACCAAAGGATTTACCCCTCAACTCCTCTAGCTTGTGATCAACCATAACAATTAGTCTCTTCTCATAAGTCAGGTTCTCTCTAACTTATACCTCATCCATCTCCATTACATGGCTCGAGTCATGAACATACTTCCTCAATTGAGAGACTTGGAATACATGACGTTTGTTGAACAAAAATGGTTGCAACACCAATTGATGAAACCACCGGATCCACATGATAAAGGATTTGGTAAGGACTAATGAACCTCAATGTCAACTTCTTGGACCTTATCGCCCTTCCCACTCTCACAGTGGGTCACCTTTAGAAACACATGTTCCTCTTCTTCAAACTCCAAAGGTTTTCTCCTCCTATCAACATAGGATTTTTGTCTACTTTAGGCAGTCCTCATTCTCTCTTGAATCATCTTCACCTTTTCTGTAGTTTGTTAAGTCAGACGAAATAATTCCTAGTAAGGTTTTGAATGAGACAAATATAATATATGTTGTTATTTCTAACAAGAGTGTTAGTGTTTCATAAAAACATAAGTACAGGCAAGTTGAAGAATAGAGAATGTGTGCATATGCCAAGATAAAGGAAGAAAAGCTTCAAGCTAGACGAAAAGACAACAAATACAAGATGAAGCGTACTATCAGTTGAAGTCTCGAAGTATCAAATACAACATAAAGACTAGAAGAAGCAAAGTCATATGATAGATGAAAACCCACATGTGTGTCAGAAGATGAATAATCAAACATTAGACGAAGGTGTGTCAAGGACAACCTAGAGCACAACACAAAAACTCAGATGAAGAATTGGTCAAAATCAGAAGAAAGTCAACTACACATCAGACGAAGGACAACACAGATTGAAAAGCATTCCAGACGAAAATAAAGTATGTCCATTCACAATGTTGACCAGAACAAAAGAAGTCCAAGCATCAATGTCAAATGCTCAGATGAAGGTCAAGAATTGAGACGCATAGGACTAACAAAGATAGATGAAGACTGCCATGCAAGCACTTAAAGAATCAAGTCTCAAAGGACTACTCAGGCATCGTCTATGATCAAATGAAAGCTCTCAACATAATCGCGTGATTAAAGGAAGTGACGAAGAAGAAAGTTTTCCTAGCTCCACCATGGACACTAGGTGGCCTCTTCCATTGTTAGGGTACAGAACTATGGTGTCTTTCATGTTGGAGATGGAGGAGGAGCTTCTGAAAAATGGAGTTAGTTCTATAAGGAAGATGCTATTGCTACCTCTATTTATGGACACTGAGGGTTACTGTTTTCCCTAGCACTATCAGTCAACTTGCTACACGGTGCACTTATGCATATGGATTATGGGATACGCAAATCAAGAATATGGAATCTAAATTCTGATACTATGTTAAATTTAATCTTAAATTTTTTTTTTTTTAAGTTTTAAATTAATTAACATTAAATAAAATTGTTACCGGATGTATGCGAGGTATCTTAGCTTATGAAACGGTTTTACAATTAGTTTATTAAATTATAAATTTATGATAGATTAAATATAGTAACTTTTACAATTTAAGTAATTATTACTTATGTTGTTAGTTGGGAAGAGAAAGAGAGAGAAGAGAGAAAATATTCAACTTAATAAATGATTATATATATGGAAAGAAAGATAAAGACATAAAGTGTTGTTGTATAAATTATGGTTTTGGTGTAAAGCAGTTATTTTCATTTATTGAAAGAGAACTATAAGTAATATACTTTTTTTTACCTCATTCTCTTTATAATATATATACTATTAATTTTTTGTTTGACAGCAAATTCTGTATATCAAAGGACTACTCAGGCATCGTCTATGATCAAATGAAAGCTCTCAACATAATCGCGTGATTAAAGGAAGTGAAGAATTCTAAAATATTATTTACACCCCAAAAATTAAAAATATAAGGAAATACATTCTTATATTCCTTGAATCATAAATACACGGTCAAAATAAAGAAAACAATTATAAGGAAAAATATACATAAAGAAGAGAAAATAGGCTACAAAAGGACCAAAAGCTCAATAAGACCTTGGGCCTTTTCCCTTCAAATCTAGCCCACTTCTTTTGACTCCTCTAAGATTTTGCTTCTAGGTATGATGTCATAACCTCATATACCTTTTCCTAAGGGTTAAACTGGATCTCTACCCAAAGACACTCTCTAAATACCTAAAAAGTCCCCAAGAGTTCCTTAACTCTTAGAGTCTCTCAACAACATACCTCAAAACATGACAATACAACACAAAATTATTGGTAAAAGCACAATAATTTAAGAAAAATGTCTAGTGTTACAATTCTCCCTAACAATACAAATTTTCATCCCCGAAAATAGACTTACTTGGAAAAAGCCATGGATATTGATCTTAGAACTACTCCTTAACCTCCCACAACACCTTCACCAAACCAAAGGATTTACCCCTCAACTCCTCTAGCTTGTGATCAACCATAACAATTAGTCTCTTCTCATAAGTCAGGTTCTCTCTAACTTATACCTCATCCATCTCCATTACATGGCTCGAGTCATGAACATACTTCCTCAATTGAGAGACTTGGAATACATGACGTTTGTTGAACAAAAATGGTTGCAACACCAATTGATGAAACCACCGGATCCACATGATAAAGGATTTGGTAAGGACTAATGAACCTCAATGTCAACTTCTTGGACCTTATCGCCCTTCCCACTCTCACAGTGGGTCACCTTTAGAAACACATGTTCCTCTTCTTCAAACTCCAAAGGTTTTCTCCTCCTATCAACATAGGATTTTTGTCTACTTTAGGCAGTCCTCATTCTCTCTTGAATCATCTTCACCTTTTCTGTAGTTTGTTAAGTCAGACGAAATAATTCCTAGTAAGGTTTTGAATGAGACAAATATAATATATGTTGTTATTTCTAACAAGAGTGTTAGTGTTTCATAAAAACATAAGTACAGGCAAGTTGAAGAATAGAGAATGTGTGCATATGCCAAGATAAAGGAAGAAAAGCTTCAAGCTAGACGAAAAGACAACAAATACAAGATGAAGCGTACTATCAGTTGAAGTCTCGAAGTATCAAATACAACATAAAGACTAGAAGAAGCAAAGTCATATGATAGATGAAAACCCACATGTGTGTCAGAAGATGAATAATCAAACATTAGACGAAGGTGTGTCAAGGACAACCTAGAGCACAACACAAAAACTCAGATGAAGAATTGGTCAAAATCAGAAGAAAGTCAACTACACATCAGACGAAGGACAACACAGATTGAAAAGCATTCCAGACGAAAATAAAGTATGTCCATTCACAATGTTGACCAGAACAAAAGAAGTCCAAGCATCAATGTCAAATGCTCAGATGAAGGTCAAGAATTGAGACGCATAGGACTAACAAAGATAGATGAAGACTGCCATGCAAGCACTTAAAGAATCAAGTCTCAAAGGACTACTCAGGCATCGTCTATGATCAAATGAAAGCTCTCAACATAATCGCGTGATTAAAGGAAGTGAAGAAGAAGAACAAAAACACGCAAAAGTAAAAGCCTAGATCAACCCCCTCTGCAGAGTAACCTGAATGAGGACGAAGTACATTCGGTTTCTAAACCCTGAACTACGACCAGAGCACCGACTCCACGACCTGCCACGCATCGGTCAAGAAACTACGACCAGAGCACCGACTCCACAACCTGCCACGCACTTGATTCTTTAAGTGCTTGCATGGCAGTCTTCATCTATCTTTGTTAGTCCTATGCGTCTCAATTCTTGACCTTCATCTGAGCATTTGACATTGATGCTTGGACTTCTTTTGTTCTGGTCAACATTGTGAATGGACATACTTTATTTTCGTCTGGAATGCTTTTCAATCTGTGTTGTCCTTCGTCTGATGTGTAGTTGACTTTCTTCTGATTTTGACCAATTCTTCATCTGAGTTTTTGTGTTGTGCTCTAGGTTGTCCTTGACACACCTTCGTCTAATGTTTGATTATTCATCTTCTGACACACATGTGGGTTTTCATCTATCATATGACTTTGCTTCTTCTAGTCTTTATGTTGTATTTGATACTTCGAGACTTCAACTGATAGTACGCTTCATCTTGTATTTGTTGTCTTTTCGTCTAGCTTGAAGCTTTTCTTCCTTTATCTTGGCATATGCACACATTCTCTATTCTTCAACTTGCCTGTACTTATGTTTTTATGAAACACTAACACTCTTGTTAGAAATAACAACATATATTATATTTGTCTCATTCAAAACCTTACTAGGAATTATTTCGTCTGACTTAACAAACTACAGAAAAGGTGAAGATGATTCAAGAGAGAATGAGGACTGCCTAAAGTAGACAAAAATCCTATGTTGATAGGAGGAGAAAACCTTTGGAGTTTGAAGAAGAGGAACATGTGTTTCTAAAGGTGACCCACTGTGAGAGT